TTGAGATATGCTATGATATGATTTGAGATATTTGGTCTTATTGAATTTCTATTATCATTTCTGAGATTAGCTTGAGGTCCCAGCATATTCCCCACACACCCCTATTCGAGAGATTACTGTGGAAATGGTAGTGGTCGGTAGAACAGGTGCATACGAACTGAGTTCCAATAAAACCTTTTCAATCTAATTGAGTACCTGAGTTTTTCTTTAGGTACATACTAAATGAGTCCATGTTTTAGTACTTATAATACCTACTGACGGAAACATGAAACTTTGAAAAAAAATTGTTTTTTCCATTTTTAGAATTGTGTATAAGAAAAAGTACTGGTGTGATTAATTTTTTTTTTTTCGTTAATAATTTAAAAAATTTAAAAAATTTTGAAATATTTGATAAATTTGTTAAACATAATATTATGTAGGTAACATTTTGTAGTAATCTTTTTATGTATTAAAATCTCTTTTTGTTTCGTTTGTCTGCATGTCTGAATTTTCCCTCTAATTTCGTTTTCTTTAGTTATGTTTGTGCTACCTACAATTTAATATGGTTAGGGTCAGTACTAGCCACTAGATTAGTTCAGTGTATTAATTTTTCAATTAGAACTATGAAAATGCACAATATAATACATGCAAAATAAAAATAATACTGACTCAATTGGTACCTACATTTTCTTTTTATACCAGACTCAATTAGTATTTTATTTTTTTCAGTGATGGGACTCAATTGGTACACACCGGGTGATAGTGGGTAGGATGTGGGGGAGGGGGGGGGGTTAATGCGTTAATATTGCAATCGAAATATGATAACTTATAAGCTATACCTTCAAGAGTCTTAGCGAAAATTATTCACTCGCCTGTTCGTGGTGTGAGCGGGTTTCGTCAGTGACAGTTTCTGCGGCGGGAAATAAAAATTCCCTCGCAACGTCTGCAGCGGGCGACGGATTACCACCGCCACACCGCCGGAGATCTTTGTCGTTTGACTGCCGCTGGTCGCCCACGAAACAACTGATGACCGCAGCAGGGGCAACAACACCGTCACCGCGACTGTCGCCGACGAATCGGCTTTTCGCGACGCTCTGACAGATGTTGCTGCCCTGGTAACCGTTACCGTTGGTTTTATAACCATAACCACTGCTCTGGTATCCTTTACCACCGGCGTTGCTCTGGTAACCATTACCACCGGTGCTCTGGTAGCCATTACCACCGGTGCTCTGGTATCCATTACCGCTACTCTGGTATCCATTACTGGTGCTCTGGTAACCGTTACCGCTACGAATGATGTTGCCGCGCAGTTCCACCATCGTATTGCCAGTCGTTGCGGCGGTTGTTATCGTTGGCGTGGGTGGCAACGAAAAGAACGGCAAGACTGGTTCGGTGGGTGCAACCACTTCCAGCACTTCTTCTTCGTGGCTTTTCACGCTGTTTGCATCGCTTAGACTCTCACTCTTCGTTTTTGGTAATGACGATGGCATTATTAGCTGTAAAAAGTAACCAAACAAGGACGAGTTAATGGACATTTTTTTTATGAATATAAAATGCGTTTTCACTACCTCTTCCATCCAAAATGGTATAAAAACCTTAAGCCAAAGCTCCCCGTACCCTACTCCTAAGAGTGAGAGAATAATTACATAATGTTAAATGTAAAATTATCGAACATAAAATTCATCTTAACTCTTCGGTTTTACCACAAACTATTTAATAATTATAATTAATATGATTCTTAATGGTCCAAAAAACATAATCTAGTATAATTGTCTATCACACAACCATATTCCGTGAAAGATTGTGATAATTATAAATATACTATGAAAAAATACTTTCCCTCGTCATTCAGTAGGTAATAGATTTGTTAAATTTTAATTCAATGGCGTATACGATAGACGATTCTGAGAGGACTCTGTGTGTCAACTCACTCTATTCCTAAGGGTAGTTGATTATATATAATATTTGATGACCCTTAGTACAAACTGCTCTAAAGTGACGACATACATCAAAACAAAGTAAAACATATCATTGTTAAACACTAAAACCTATACTTAGGTACATAAATCGTACCGCTCATAATATAAATACAATAATTAAATAATATAATATATATTATAAATATAACAAAGGATATAGGTATGATTTTTTTTTTCTGGAAATTCTTTAGTAGGCTATAGTAGGTATATAATTGACCATTTATTCTCTAGAGGACACGTAGTAAGCCAAATCTAGTACACAGCTGGGGCTTACTATGTCTACATTCGGACACAGAAAACTTCCATCAACAATGTCCTAAGTCGAGTTAACTAATGATATAATATTACAGCATCAACGCAGAAGGCCCTAACACACCAGTGCGGCAGTGCTCGTCGAATTTGACAAAAGCGTCATTCGTCAAACCTAACAATTGTATTTAATAATTTTTTAAGATAACAATATAATATGCAAGTGTATAATGTGTTCCTACTTAAATTAATAAAAAATGTCGAGTTAATAATTTGAGGGACATTTAGGTGTAATCCTGGATTTTCCTTAATTTGTCTATGTAGACAGTGAGGATTTTGAATTTTTTTTTCAGTAACATTTGACGTAAACTTGGGGATTACTCCAATACGATGAACAAAAAACCTATGCATTGAGAAGGATTAACTTAACAGTTCTCATTAAGCAAACGTTGTTGACCTGTATATACCTTCTAGTTATTAGATACCTATAATTATGAGTTAAAAAAATTCCCAATAATAGTGAAGTCGAACTGTCAAAAAGTAATTCAACAACATGAATCATGAAATAGTAACGATCGTACGTATCCAAATCATATTTTTTATGTTACTTTTATGACGTATGAGGTAATGTATAACGTATTTGAAATGCATTGATTATCAAGTATTATGAAAGCTAAAAGAAACGACCTTTTTGTACGAGTTGCAACTTACAAAGCCTGTATTATGAATTATGACCGCCAATCATCCCACACCCTTATAATATTATAATAAATAATAATATATGCCAATTTCCGTTGGAAATATCGATGTCTAATTTATAATTGTTGATTTAATGCATCTCCTTCTTTTTATTGTGTTATTGTAAAAGGAATTAGGTTTGATCGAACTTTGTTTAGTACTGTGCATTTTCCCTGTCAATCGTTTTGATAAACCATGATTATTATATATTTTAATAATTTAAACTTTAAAAAAAAAATTACGTTGTTATATGCTTAATAAACAAACGTTGTACTAATGTTTTAAAAATATTTTTCATAATTCGTCGATTAAGATCTTTGAATTTTATTTAAGAAAAAATAAATCATCTGCCTCATTTCAATTTTAAAGCTCTTGTTTTTAGATGATATTTTGCCCAATGCTACAAGCCCGCGGAACGGAATTTTTTTTGTCGGCTCTATCAATAACAAATGCCAGTAATATAACAATGTAATCACTTGATGCTTGCTGGACGAAGAGTCATCGTCGTCGGCCACCGTAATGGTCGTCGATGCTGTCGCGGGACTCCACCGGGACGACGGAAGACGTTCGGAACTACTGGCATTGGCGCTACTGTTTTGTCGGTGGTTGGACCCGGACGAAGCGTTCGAATTTCCGTTGTGGAACGCTATGGTGGTGGCGTCAACGTCGGCAGGCGCCGCGTTTTCGTATATTATGTGACCGTCCTCTACGTAATAGTGTTGACCCGATTCCGATACGTTCTCACCAAAGTTGTTGTAATGGTCCTGTTGAATGGCACGACTAATATATTAAAACTATAACGATAAACTGATGGACGACGAGAAACTCTCGTAAAAATAAAGGGTTCCAAAACTGTATGAAAAAAAAAACGTCGATGGGCCTAAGACATTAAATGATTAAAAAATGCATGCTATGCTTGAAATGTGGGCACGGGTCTCAAATAAACACTGCAGGGCAGGCCGAAGGGTTGAAGACCGCTGTATTAGATAAATCACCGCTGTAAGTTTATACGATGCCTGTCAATAGGGTAGTACGGACGAAAGCGTTTTTACGAAATGCATAACAACGAAAGCAAAATGACGGTAATTATATCGCTGTCGTTGTTTAAATATTACTTTGCTTTGGTACAACTATAATAATAAAGTATACCGCCCTTATTGTATGGCTTGTGGTTGCGATATGCCGTGAAAAACTTTCAAAAGCAGTAATTTTCTGGGACCCCGTATAATATTATAATTATTACCTATACTAAAATAACCATTATTGCTATCGAAATCTTGCCGGGTAATATATTTGACAAACCACAAATATGAATTAGGTATGTGGTATACTTCTTAAAGCGTTCTAATACTGATGGTAAATAAAAATAATATATACATTTGAGTTGACCCAGTTAACCGCATCCAAGTGCATAATTTTATTATTTTATACCTTACGAATTTAACCCTTTCACTGCTACAGAGTACAGATGCATATATGCGTCCAACGAAAACACCTCTGCTGTGCTACAGACGCATATGTGCGTCCTGTACAATTTTAAAATTGGTGGGTTATAAATAAATAACAACAAATAGTCCATTCTTATCTACGGGCTGCGAACAGTTTATAACCGTTTTCAGAATTGAATTATCAACAATATCCAAGGAGTTATTAAATAAAATAATTTATAGCATTCCAAGGGGTTCTCAAAATTGTCTATGACTATACCTGTAGCTGTTATACCAATAGTTCTAGCCAATAGCCACACAGAATAACAACATAATATAGTGTTTCATTTACCTATTTCTTTTATACCTTTTTTAGTGTTACCCATGAAACGAAAAATATTATAATATTATAACAGATAAAATTATACCAAAATAGAACATATTATAATTTATCACTTATGTTTATGACGTTTATGTACCTATTTAATTTTATACGGTTTTCAATATTTTTTGTTATCATTTATAAATTGTATTGACACACATTATTCAATTATTGTGTTGAAATACGTATATTTTGTGCTTTGCTTAATTTTTATTGTGATTTATTTCACAAATCCAAATTACCGCAATGTCCAAAAAGCTATCGAATGAAGAAATAGCACGAGAACTAGATGAATACTTTGCTAATTCTGAATCTGAAGATGAATTATACGATTTTGATCTAGCTAATGATGATTCTGATCCTAGTTTTTGTAAGTGTATTTGATGTGTTAGTTGTCTTAAAATAATATATAATATTTTTTAAATTGTTTAGATCAATCGAGACCAGTTGATAATAATTTTATTTTGATATATTCTAATACAAATTCACAGTCAAATGCTAATGGTGTATATAATTCTAATCAAGTGCAATATAATACACCTACTGAGATTAGCCAACACGATTTACAAGCCTCTGGTAAGTTTTGATTTCATTACAAGTAAATTAAAGAATTTTGCATAATTTATTATTTATTTAGGTCTATTACATAATGACCAATATTTATTCAAAGATGTTGATATTGATGAAGCTCTGGAAAATTTTGAAACTGATTTCCAAGACTATTGTAAGTGTATATTTTATTTTATGCATACTAAGTTACCAAGAAATATTTTTGTTTACAATACAAAATTATATTGTAATACAACATTAGACAATTTGTCTAATCACATTCTCAATATAAGAAATGAAGTATTTTATAACATTTTTTAATGTTATTAGTGAGTAAAGTGTGACAAGATGTGTAGTTAGTGAAGGCTAGTTCCACATAGTTTTGTGTGCTGTACTAAAAAGAGTAATATATATAAAAATGTATATGACAAAAATATTAGGCTCTGAAATGAACACAATATTAGCTAATTCTAATTTTATAAAAAATATTTTTTAGTTTCACAGAATGAGTCTTTTCAGTCTCCTTCAAGTATTACACATGACATAAATATCATTTATTTCAGTCAATGCATTCTACAGTCAAGAGTATCTTCAGATGCATTTTCATCTAACATCCATAGACCCTCAAGATCATCTAAAGTTCCTAAGGCAATCAAGACATTAAAATGGAAAAAAAATGCAAATAAGTTTCAACCAAAAATTCATAAATTTAACTCAATCAATGTACCTATATTACTGTTTGTTATTAATATATTATATATATAATATAATATAATATATTATATTTGTTATTTTTTCTATATATCCAAAAATGAATTAAATATGTGTTTTTTCTTCAGAGTGTTGTTCAATGTGAAGAGTTTGATTTAAATGAAGCCTCACCTGTTATAGATTATTTTGAAGCCTTTATTACAAATGATTTGATTGGAAAAATTGTTTTGAGACTAACAGGTATGCTCAGGAGCAACCGATTATTTCAGAACATTCAAGAATGGTTTATTGGAAAGATACAAGTATGGAAGAATTATACATATTTTTAGGAGTAACTATTTTAATGGCTAGGAACAAAAAGTTAAAAATGCATGAATATTGGTCAACTAATGAATTATTACGTCAGGATATTTTTGGTAAATGTATGAGTAGAGACAGATATTTACTTCTCTTGCGTTGTATTCACTTCTGCGACAAAAGTCAACAAATCAAAGGAGATAGGCTCTACAAAATTAAAATGGTTTTGACTGAAGTAAGAAAGAATTTCAAAGATGCTATGATTCCTTTTTCAAATCTGGCCATTGATGAGAGCTTACTTTTGTGGAAAGGGCGTCTGTCATTTAAACAATAATATCAAAAGTAAAAGACATAGATTTGGTACCTCTCAAGCTTTATATAATATGTGACTGTGAGACTGATTTTATTCTGAACTTTATTGTGTATACAGGAGCTACTGAATACAAAGATCCATTAGAAGACATACTTGGTAAATCTGGTGTTATAGTAAAAGATCTAATGAAGCCATATTTAAACAAAGTTATTCATTATTCACAGATAATTTTTATACCTCACCACAATTATCTATGTATTTACATAAAAGAAAAACAAACACATGTGGTACTGTTAGAAAAAATCGAAAACTGATGCCAACTATTGAAGGAAAACTAAAATTAGGTGAACGAGAAGCTCGGTGCACTGACAAACTTTTAGCGATTCATTGGAAGGACCGTCGTGACGTATACATGTTAACATCTATGAATACAAATGAAATGGTAGACACAAAAAAGATAGATAGGAAAACAGGAAAAAAATATCTCAAGCCACAATGTGTAGTTAGTTACAACAAAAATATGGGTGCAATAGACAAGACAGATATGTTATTAAGTTCTACCGAATGTGTTAGGCGTACATTGAAATGGTACAAAAAACTATTTTTTCATATTATTGAGATGAGTATGCTAAATGCATATTCAGCCTATAAAACAGTTACAGGTAAGCATATTTCATTAGCTGACTTTCAGCTAACTTTGGTTAATGAAATATTACAAAAATACAAATCCAGTGTGAAAACAACTCCAAGTAAAGGTAAAAAAATAATAAGTACAGACAGCCGTTTAAGTGAAAGACATTTTCCAGATTTAATACCACAAACATCAAGTAAAAAACAAAGGAGAAAATGCTTTGTTTGCAGCCATAAGACTGAGGGGAAAAAAAGAACAGATACATTATATCAATGCAATGAGTGCAATGTAGGTTTATGTGTTGTACCATGTTTCAAAATATATCACACTCAACAAACTTTTTAATATATACCTAATAATATATCAGTCAAAAAAAAAAAGTATTATGTATAATAAAAGTTATGTTTTAAAGTTAAAAATAAATTTGTTTTTTGTTATTGTAGTTTTTTCAATCATTAAATTTTATTAAATTTTGTTTATTTATACATAATATTACTCAATCACCGTGTCATCGCATAGCTCTTGCACATTTTGAGAACCACCGGTAATGAATAAGAAAACTTGCTATAACTTGGTAAGTTTTGATCAAAAAATTTTTTTTCTAATTTTTTTAACTTCAGACTGTAGCTTCTCTCTCTGAATTGATCTATCAATATTAGGTGATAAAATAATTAAATTAATTTATCAAATTTGGTCAGCACAGGACAGTTACATTCAATTTTAGCCTTCAGCAGTGAAAGGGTTAAGCAGTTTAAAATGATTCTGTAGCAATTATTTAGAGTGAATATGATGTATAATATTTTTTATAGTAGGGCATACTAAGAGCAAAAAAAATGAATGTTTTTTAGATAGAGGTTAGGTTAGCAAAAGTATCGCTGCAAATAATATTATAGACAAGTACTTACAAATTTAAAATTTATGTTTAACGTGGGTGGTAGAACCACTTCTACATTGTGCATAATTTTGTATTTTCTCCAGAGTCTAGTAAAAAAAAAAAAAAACAAATAAACATTATAATAATATTAATGTGAAACGATATTGAAAACAATATATTAATATGTATCTTTTTTAAATGTGAAATTTACCTGTTACCCCAGTACGTTGATACAGTGGACAAAACTATGAACAAACATGACCATATCACTAAATGTAGCGCTAGAGGTAGACCTAGAGAAAAAACAACAATAACTAAGTTATACAGAAAAACAATATAGAGGAAAAACAATTGGTCGAGATACGATACAATAATATTATAGGTCTACGCAATATACGTTTTACAATTATCAGTGCTCACCGCAGTGTATTGGTGGAACAAGTACCAAGTTTTTTTTTTTTTTTTTACTAGGTACTATTCAATCTAAAATAATATAGTATCTCGACCATTAAATAAGTTAAAATTTCGATGTATTACGTTATAAGTACAAATAAAAATTAAAACACAAACACGGTTTGAATGAAAATTGTATATACCTAGCCTGTTTCGTATATTATTTATTATTATATTGATAATAAAATAAAGTAAAATCAATTAAAAAACCAAGATATTTATTTATTCATATATTTTATTTATTATGATATTGATTAATTAGCAGCATTTATATTTTATAAAGGTTAAAAGAATACGTCACATTAAAGAATGAGACAAAATCAAATAGAATAAAATCAATATGACAAATGACAATAAATAAGTGTTGAGGAAAACCATCTCACCACTTTTAGGTAGGTAGGTACCATCATGCTGTATCTGCTATTAAAATTTGATTTAAATACGTATTTTTGTACTTCGGATAACTTTATCACTACCTAAGAGATAATCTGAGAAACCTGACTAAACAAGGGCATTACCTCTGTTTCAAGTTACATTATGAAATTATTACGGTTTAGTGATCAGTAGTAATTTTATTATCAATGTAAACAATTATTTATTTACAAATAAATTATAATCCAAAAAATATCTAACTTATTAGAAAATAAATCTTTTTGAAACATTTTATTCTGAATCATATTATATAATATTAAAATGGGATAGGGATATAAGTGCCGCTCTAACCACCAATAACGCCCTAGGGCAACAATATTTGACGCCCCTCTCCCTCCCACAAAAAAATCTAGACTTCACATTTTTAGCTTATAATTAACCACATACCTTAAATATGTTTAATACTTATTAATTAAAGGTTCCTACTTATTTTTTTATTATTATTATTGGAATCATATTTATTTTGTTTCAATGATTTTTTTGAGTTGACACCGATTTTATTATTCCGGGTACATTACAGAAAGAAAATATATAACTATTTTCACAAATTAGTGGATTTTATTATAAATCATACGTTCTGCGTTTCTACGTTCTGCGTGTGGCGTGTATAACAGTCAACATTGTAAATTGTACAAGTGAATATGAGTGAATATAATATACAGAATTTAGTCAAAATACACTAACTCGATTTATTTTAAGAAATGGGTGAAATTGATAATGAGTTGGTTATAAGTTATAACAATATACATCTTTGCCTTTGCGTATAATATTTATAGTAGCACAACTCCCCGAAGATGGGGGTTGTTGATCACTGAGACCCATGGACTGCAGGGACCCCCCCAGGCCCCAACCCAACTAATAATTTACTATTTTTATATTTGATAACAAATATCAAAATCACATTATTTTAATGTATTTATGTATGTATTAAATTTCACTGTCAGTATAGATATCTGATGTATTATTGAAATATTATTCTATAAATATAAAATAATGATGACATTTCTCCATATTTTACATGGAAAATTAAAGGAGGATTATTAAACACAACAATTAAAGACCTCGCTCGCTTTGTTTATAATTATTAAAAATGGTTTCTGTAATCCATACTGCGATGTTCTTAAATTTGTCGATCAAAAAACCAGAAAAAAATCTTTTTCAAGTGAAAAAAATATTTAATAGGTACTACCAAAGATATAAATTAGTTTAGTTTATAATTATATTACTTAATTATTTTAATGATGTAAATACATATTTAAAATATATTTCATGTAAATAAATATTACTATTGTAGTCTTATAACTTATAAGTATTAATATTTTTATTTGTTTTTATGAATATTGAATATATTATTGAAGGTATGTCGCATTAAGATTTAACACATTATTCACATAATTTTATATTTAATAGTATATAATTTGATAGGTACTCATCTTTGATATTACAGTATAAAAAGAAAAATAATACCTAAAATAAAATCACCAAATTTTTCTTTTATCATTCATTTTTAGTACGCCCCCTAAATTCATAATACTTTAGACGCCCTAGGGCACTTGCCCCATTTGCCCCCCCCTTGGGACGGCTATCGGATATTTTAGTAGATATGTATATAAAAATACTGGTTGTAAATTATTCATGAACATTTTAGAAATAATAATTATAATGATTGAGACGACCGCGGCGTATTATTCTATTTTAATTATCACAACACAGCAGTATATTATTAATCATTAATATTTTTGAAAAGTAAAATAATTTTGTCTTGAATATTAATAATTAATTTCCAACCCAGGTGTTTTTAGTATTGTATCTATATCGGGTCCGTTTTCATGTCAATGTTTTTCGATAATTTAGAGGATAATATTAAGACACATAATTATACACATTTTATATTTTTATCGACAGAAAAGTATACAAATACTTGATTTAATTGTAAAAATAATTATAGATATTTCATTTAAGGGTTTAAGAAATGTTATTCTAGTGGAATTATGGGTTATTTTGTTGTTTGAAAAATGTTAAGCTCACAATAACTAATACAATCACACCTCCGGCGCCTACGATCAGCGCTCTGGCCACTACCTACGGCTTTGGAGACGATCCAACAAAAAGTAATGGCTTAGTAGATATTTGAAAAAAGTATTATTTCGACTTTTCAAATATATTTATTTTAATAATAAAAAGACAAACGTAATATTTTATACTATTTGATTAGACAGTTAAAAAAATATATAAGTTTATAACAATTAATATATTTCATTTAAATTTTTTACCAGGGATATGTATTACCATTGATTATATTGTATTTATAATCAATGGTATTATACGTACATTATATAATTATTATATTGCACGATCGAAAAGCATGTTGTTGTTCTGGGTTGTTCATTATTTGTTTATTTTACAATTTTGTTTATCGTGCAGTCTAATATCGAATTTATTTTTAATCTCGTGAATTCTAAAAATGTAAATTTTTGTGAGTTTTGCCACCGTCGAGTGAAGCTATACACACGCGTTTTAATATAGTAGTTTACCTACACGGAATTCGTTGTATTAATATTGATGTCCAACGTAAAAAGCATATTGTGGACTCTATAGCGTATTTACTTTTTAGTTTTTTTTCTCTTTTAAAAGTAATCTAATAATGCTCTAAATTATAAGAATAAAAAATAATTATATTTCCATCTCTGTTGAAAAATAGTAATTACTCTACATTTAACAGGGTGCTATATGATAATATTAATGCAGCAAATAGATAAATCATATCATTTCTAGGGCCATTCAAATTTCGTTATTGCAAAAACTGTTTAGAGGAGTGTCTCCAGATGATCGGGGACTGGGACGAACTTGCGAAAATTAAAACTATGAATATTATTATAATATCACAATCTATTACAGTAACCCACTTATAACCTACTGTACAGCAGAGAGACACCGACTTGCCCACCATTTTTTTGTTGATAAAATTAGAAAACCTTATTGATTGTAATAAGATTGATCTTGATTGTATTAAATTTTCAAATAAAAATGTTTATGAGTTCTGAATTTCTAACTCAAACAAATTTGCATATTTTTGCGTATTTTGTCTAAATTCTAACCTTTAATATTTATAACAAAAATTGAAAATCGAAGCATAAAAATAATATTTTGGATACCAAGACTTCTTACAATTAAAACTATGAAACTATGCACTTAATCAAAACTAAATGTGCAAATGCATGGCACAAGAATACCAAGACCGCATGCACTTAATTATGTTTTATTGTTCGTACGTACAATATCATTATTTTCATATCAATTGAATATTAATTACCTAAATATTTTCTCTTTGATATAATATATTAATAGAAGAGCGTATATTATATTCCCAAGTAGTTTTAAATTATTACATTACTATAAATTATTTGTAATATAACACGATTTCATGATTACACATTTTTAGTACAAATGTCTGCTGCCAATGGCCTGCTATCAAAACTACACAGATAACGCCAAATAGTTTAAGTGGTAGTCCTTAGTAGAGTTTTAAAAGCCGGAAAAAAAGTCAGTGGCTTTGCAAACTCATCACCGGTTTATATTATATTAT